CACCAAGCTGTTGAGATCCATTTAACATTCCTATGGTGCAGACACCGGGCACTAGGCGGCAACAGTTGTTTCCAACACTGTAAAGATGGGTGCAATTGTGCCGAGCCAGGTGAGAGAAACAAAAATGTAAAGCATGTATTTGATTTATTTGGACCCTCGCACACTAAGAGATGGAGTGGTGGTGGGGATGTCATGGGAGAAGACATTGACAAAAACTACTCCAACATGGGTGGCATGACAGGCATTCAGATAGCGGTTACTTCTTGGCTAAGGAATCCTGAACAAACATACTATTTCCTTCGCTGTACTTTCTCAGACTGTTTGAACCCTGCAATAGGATGCTGTCAGTATAAATCTATAAACTCCTGCCTGTGTTGCCATGGTAAATGAGCCACTGTGATTGAAGTGACTACATCTTAAGGTGACTTTGTTATGAAATGCACAGGGGTGACAAGTGACACCCAAGAAGAGAAAAGCAAAAACAGAAGTACTTCCATCTCTGCTTGACTTCCAGATAACAGCATGTTCTCCATCAGAACAACCAGAGATTGTGGGAGAGAGACTCAAGACCAAGGATGACAAAGACAGAGCGCTGGTCACAGGAGAGGAGCATCCTACATATTCTGAAACTCCAACAGTGTCCTCTTGAAGGAGGGTTGGCTCCTGCTCAGTTGCAGAATTGCTGGGCAAGGATCCAGACAAGGAGAGGGAAGAGACACTGGCTCAGTGGTGCTGGCAGAGCCAAAAGCCCACAAGGTGGAAGGAGAGCCTGAGTCTGCAGGTGTGCATGTTCAGGGGTTCATGAGGGGAATGGTAGGGAGTGGCAATGACCCAGGTGGACAGGATCAGGGGCAAAGCTGGGGGCTGGGCAAGTATGGCAGGGAGCTCTGGGGAGGTGTGAGCCAGGTGCCCTGGGGAGCTGGGAGAGCCCCCATGGGCGGGCGGGGAGCTTCTGGGGGAGGGGAGGATGAACATGTGGTAGATGGTGGAGGCAGCTGAGGACTCAGAGCTGAGCCCGGAGCATGACCGCTGAGGGGAGGGCGTGCCAGGAGGGGCATGTGGATGTGTGCGTGTGCAGGGCCCTGGTGAAGAACTCAAGTCGTGTGTGAAGCCCAAGGAGAGACTGCTGCCAATATGGGACTCCCTGGAGGTGAAGGGCCCTCGGGGCAGGGGTGGCTGGCACAGCAGAGAGAGTCCCAGGGAGAGGCTGGGCTGAGGCCTGGGGAGGCAGGAGCGAGGGAAGCCTCCAGAGCAGACTCAGACAGGACCCCAGGCTCCAGATAGGCAGACATGACTGGAGGGCCCCAAACTCTGACTGCCTTAGTGGCCCGTCTCCTGACTCCTGAGGTGGAGGGTTGACAGGGGTGGGGGAGGGCAAGGGTGGGGTCAGAAAGAGAGAGGAACACTGTGTGTGTGTGTGTGTGTGTGTGTGTGTGTGTGTGTGAGTGTTAGGATTAGAGAGAGAGAGAGAGTGAGTGAGCACGCGTGTGCTGTGTGTGGGGTAGTGCGTTCCGGTTGAGCCTCCCTCCCAAACGCCAGAATATGCCCTCACACAGAAATAGGGAGTCACTCACCCAAGCGTCCTGTGTCTCTGGCCTCTTGTCACTGAGTCGGGGTCGCGTGATGCTCTGGGCAGCAGACGTGACACAGGCACCTGCTCCTCCTGTCTTTCCAGAGGATCCTATCCTGGGGGCCCTGGAAGTAGCCTTAAGTAGCCGAGCGGGGCGGGCCTCCACCAACCAGGCCTCTCTGCTGGCCCCGACTCCCGCCCACCTGCCTGGGCCCACACACAGCTGCTCTCCTCATTGGCTGATCGCCTCTCTTCCCATTGCGTCATTTCCTCTGTGCTCTCTGGCGCCGCCCCCCAACAAACCACACCCCCCCCATGCAGCTGCACACTTCCACTCCCACTCCATGCTTCTCTGCTTCTGTTCCAGCCCTTTCAGCCCTTGTCCAATCTTAGCCTCACCTTCCCCTAGTCTCCACACTTGAGGTGGCAGTGGAGAAACACACTTTCTCCTCACCATCATCTCGCATGCTCCCACGCTGGCCACAGTGACTTGCTTGCACTGGAGGCATTGCAATGGACCTGATTCGGATCATCACAGCAGCTGTGACCAGCCCACCTCAGCAACCCTTCAGGGTCACCTGATTGAGACTGAGACGCCTTGGAAAGTGTCAGTTTTCGAGGCGGCGGGTGGCAAGCAGCTTGACTTTTGAATGCTCAATGGGCCCTCGGCATGGGATGTTTCCTCACACACATGCTTGTCTGGGTGGTTCTGCTTTCCATCTTGGCAACCAAGACAAACGGATTTTCGACTCACCACAGGCCATCTTTTTCTTCTCTATCCCGCACTCCGCTTTCCATTGTTGGGAAAAAAATGAGCTTGCAAGGTGGTGAATTTTTTAGAGGTGTATATATAGTTACTGATTTAGTATTTCAAATATATATGCAATATTATACATTTACTATATTAAATTATATTCCACTACTATATCATTTATTACATTTACTAGATTTTATTACTATCTTAATCTCATATATGAAATTATATATATATGTGTGTGCATATATATATATCTATATGGTAAAAGATGACATGGTTGATCAGGGTAGGAAGGATCGAGGCCCATGTGAAGAACATCCCAGCAAAATAACAGCACAAGACTCAACCAATTCTAAAAAAGAAAGCAAATAAACAAACAAACCAAAACACAACCAGTTGCTGAGATGACTGGACCAAATTACCACCCATTCCAATTAACCCTGAATGGAAATGACATAAACTCATCAATCAAACACCAGAGATTCGTTCACCAGATGTACAAAAAAAAAAAAAAAAATCTATCTCCTGCCTAGAGGAGACACGTCTCACCAACAAAGATCAGCGGAAATTACATCCCATGGGCTTTTATGTTTTTTGTTTGTTTCATGTCTTCATTTCTCTCTTCAAGATGGTTCTTAGTAGCTTTTACATTCCTTCAGCGACACATTAGTCATTCTGCAGTATGGTCTTTAACCTGATGGAGTTGTGAATTTCTTTCTTCTTCCGGTTGTTGATTTTATTTTGTGGTTTTTCATTGTTTGCCTCCTGGAGACGATCCTATCCAGAGGTGAGGAGGCAATGCAGTCTGCATCTCTATGCCCAGATCAAAGATGGCCTCGCAACAAAACCGTTGACTAAATCTTGACCATAAGATGCTGCACTCTGCCATCGCCCATGCCCACAATCATGGACATCGGACCATAGAAGAAGAACTCTGCTCTAGCAATGATTAAGGGGAACTGGGCGAGGGGAGAGGGAACTTGGTGTGGGGGAATCAGGGAAATTGCAGGGCCTATAGTACTGTATCGTCAAATGTATCAAAATGAAAACGAAGCATAATCAAAATCAAAACCGACCACAGGTCACCTTCTGCTTTCACCGGTGTGATCCCATCAGCCCTGTACTTGAAGGCCCTCTAACCAAGAGGCTGCGTCCGGGGCTGGCCTGAGGCTCTTTGCCCAGCACCCAAGGGGATGAATTTGAAATACAGATTTGTACAAAAGGAAGGTCTGTTCTGTGATTGTTTCCAAGGTTTGCAAAGGTCAGTGGATGGCCATCTTGGCATCGCTATGGTGTCAGTGTAAGAGCTTAGAATAACTGCTTGATTTTGCTTCTGTATATTTCTTTCTGCTGAGCAAGAGTAGAGCCATGTTGGAATAAATATAGAAAAACTATTTCATGAAAGAAGTAAAAGTTTCAGTTTCCCAGACATGAACAAGGCAGCTGCAGGAATAAAAGAGATAAGGTAGCAAGGCCGGAGCAGGCAGCTGCAGGAATAAAAGAGATAAGGTAGCAAGGCCGGAGCAGGCAGCTGCAGGAATAAAAGAGATTCTAATCTTAAAGTAAAATGCCAGCTGTTATGCGAAGTTTGCGGTTTTGTCCTTTAAAAAGATGCTTTAACCTGCTTGGGGCGCGCAGAGTCCTGGGTGCCTCCACAGACTCTGTTGCCCATTCGCGAATGCCCAATAAAATCCTCATGCTTTTTACAGCCTCTGCTTTGTGACTTGTCTTGCCGAACGGAGTGGCTCCCTTTCCACGGGGTTGGACTCTCCCTGAGTCTAACATTTTGTTGCATTGGCCGGGAATCAGGAGCAACCGTCCTCGGCAAGCAACATCCTAGCAGGGGGAGGTAAGACCGATCGGAAAGTGTGTATTTTTGTGTGTTGTACTGTTCTGTCCTTGTCCTCCCCAGTCTTTGAACGGTACCGGTTTGATTTGAACTTGTACGCTGGAGGACGCTCCAGTGCTTTGGAGACAGGGTGAAGATCACGTCACCCTCGTCTGGCCTTGTATGGCCGCCCCAGAGCGGCCGTCTTGTATCTTGTATCGGGCCCTTTGGAAATCTTGTATCGCGCGAATCCTGTTTGTGTCATTTGTTTGTTTTGTAATTGTGTGTAGTCTCTTGTCTTTGAATATGGGTCAGGCTGAGTCTTCTCCCCTAAGTCTTACTCTCCAACATTGGCCTGACGTTTCCACCAGCGCTCACACCCTATCAGTGGAAGTGCGTCGCAAGAAATGGAAAACTCTCTGCACCGTTGAGTGGCCGACTCTCGCTGTTTCATGGCCGCCCAGCGGCACCTTTAATCTAACCACTATTTTGCAGGTGAAAGGCCTCATCAGGGCGACCGGGCCATCGGGGCATCCCGACCAGTTACCGTATATCTTGGTATGGGAGGACCTCGTGGTTAATCCCCCGCCGTGGGCTCAACCTTTTCTCATCGCACCCTGTCCTCCTCCTCCTCCTTCTCCAGAATTGCCGGCGCCTTCAGCTCCGCCCCAACCCCAACCCTCTGCTCTTGTTTCCCTCTGTCCGCTGGAAGCTACTCGTCCTCGACCTAAGCCTGTCCTGCCTGATGATAGTCAGATGGACCTATTAATGACCTCTGAACTTCCTCCACCTTATCCCCAGGAGCATCAACCTGAAGGAGAACCCCCAAGAGGAAGACCGGGGAGATGGGCTCTCCAGACACCACTGTAAATGAACAGCCTGAAGCCAGATCCCCAATCCATACCAGGTTGCGGCTACGCAGGGCTCAATTGGAGGAGGGAGAAAGAGGAGAAGGGCAATGGTCTTCACAATTGTACCCCTTGAGAATTGTAGGGGGGCAGGTCCAGTATTGGCCTTTCTCTGCCTCTGATTTGTATAATTGGAAAACTCATAACCCTCCTTTCTCCCAAGACCCCCAAGCATTAACAGGTCTCATCGAGTCCATCTTGTTGACGCACCAGCCGACTTGGGATGATTGTCAGCAGCTGTTACAGACTCTACTGACCACAGAAGAAGTCCAACGGGTGCTGATGGAGGCCAGAAAGAATGTTCTTCGGGCTGATGGGCAGCCCACCCAACTTCCAAACGAAATTGATGAAGTGTTCCCCCTTGTCCAACCTAATTGGGACTTCGACACTCCAAATGGTAGGGAGCGTCTCCGTCTTTATCGCCAGACTCTGTTGGCAGGTCTCAAGGGTGCCGGAAGGCGACCCACTAATTTGGCTAAGATAAGAACAGTTCTACAGGGAGCTGGGGAGACTCCCGCGGGATTCTTAGAAAGACTAATGGAAGCATACCGCATGTATACACCGTTTGATCCGGCAAGTGAAGATAGGCAGGGGGAAGTGATTATGGCTTTCATAGGACAGTCGGCACCAGACATTCGAAATAAGTTACAAAGACTAGAAGGATTGCAGAATTATAGCTTGCAGGACTTAGTAAAAGAGGCAGATAAAATTTTCAATAAGAGAGAGACTCCGGAAGAGAGAGAAGAGAGACTAAGAAAGATGCAGGAAGAAAGAGAGGATAAGAGAGATAAGCGACGGAATAAAGAACTGAGCCGTATCTTGGCCACTGTAGTTCATAACAAGCAAATAACATCCCAGGGAACTGAGATAGGGAGACAGTTTAAGGAACAGGGAGGTGAGCGGCGAAACCGTTTAGGGAAAGATCAATGTGCTTACTGTAAAGAAAACGGCCATTGGGCAAAGGATTGTCCCAACAATCCTAGAAACAAGAAAAGGCAGACCTCAGTTTTGACTTTAAAAGACTAGGCCAGTCGGGGCCAGGAGCCTCCCCCTGAGCCCAGGCTAACTCTGTCTGTGGGAGGCAAGCCCACCACGTTTCTAGTAGACACCGGGGCTCAACATTCAGTTTTGACAACTACTGATGGACCTATGAGCCAGAAGACCTCGTGGGTACAGGGAGCCACAGGAGGACGCGCGTACCGGTGGACGACTGATCGGCGGGTCGACTTAGCTACAGGTACTGTCACTCACTCCTTTTTACATGTGCCTGATTGTCCCTACCCCCTATTGGGACGAGATCTTCTGACAAAACTGGGAGCACAAATCAACTTTAAAGACCAAGAAATAACAGTGACTGGGCCTCAAGGGAAATCCCTGTGCATCTTAACCCTAAAATTAGAAAATGAATACAAACTACATGAGGCCATTAGAAAAACTGAAACTAACAAAGAGGGAACCCCACCTTACATGGAGAGATGGATGACTGAATTCCCAGATGCATGAGCAGAGACGGGTGGCATGGGATTGTCAGTGCAACAGCCACCAGTACACGTACAACTAAAGGCTACTGCAGGGCCCGTGGCTATCAGACAATATCCCATGTCAAGGAAAGCCTTTGAGGGCATTCGCCCCCACATCCACAGACTACTAAAACTGGGAATTCTCATTCCTTGCCGGTCACCGTGGAACACTCCTCTCCTACCAGTGCAGAAGCCGGGGACAAATGACTATAGGCCCGTCCAAGACCTAAGAGAAATAAATAGTCGTGTAGAAGACATACATCCCACTGTGCCAAATCCTTATAACCTTCTCAGCTCCTTGCCTCCCTCCCATGTGTGGTATAGTGTCCTGGATTTAAAGGATGCTTTCTTTTGTTTAAGACTGAGCCCGGCGAGCCAACCTTTATTTGCTTTTGAATGGAGAGATCCGGAACATGGAGTAAGTGGGCAACTGACTTGGACTCGATTGCCACAAGGCTTCAAAAATTCCCCCACCATCTTTGATGAGGCCCTACATCAAGACTTGGTGGCATTCAGATTAAATAACCCCAATCTGACTCTCCTCCAATATGTAGATGATCTCTTGCTGGCAGCACCTACCAGAGAGGCCTGCCTAGAAGGGACAAGGGCCCTGTTACGTGAATTGGGAGCCCTAGGATATCGGGCATCTGCCAAGAAAGCCCAGATATGCAGAGAGGAGGTAACCTACCTAGGATATGTCATAAAGGGAGGAAAAAGATGGTTAACTGAAGCCAGGAAAGCTGCGGTGGCGTCTATACCAGTCCCAAGGAACTCCCGACAGGTACGTGAGTTTCTGGGAACGGCAGGATTCTGCCGGCTGTGGATACCTGGGTTTGCGGAGCTGGCCGCTCCCTTGTACATGTTAACGAAGGAAAAAAACTCCTTCATCTGGGGAAAAGAACAACAACGGGCTTTTGATTGCATTAAAGAGGCCCTCCTAACGGCACCGGCCCTGGGACTGCCTGATGTCACAAAACCATTCACACTGTATGTGGATGAGGCCAAAGGAATTGCAAAAGGAGTATTGACTCAGTCCCTAGGCCCTTGGAGACGACCGGTTGCCTACCTTTCAAAGAAACTAGATCCAGTGGCCTCAGGGTGGCCCCCTTGCCTGCGCATGGTAGCAGCTATTGCGACCCTGCTCAGGGACGCAAACAAACTAACCCTGGGACAGAAAGTCACAATAATAGCTCCACATGCTGTGGAGTCGGTTGTCCGCCAACCGCCAGACAGGTGGCTTTCAAACGCCCGCATGACTCACTACCAGGCTTTGCTCTTAGCTCCTGAACGCATTACTTTTGGACCAGTTGCTACGCTCAATCCCGCTTCCCTATTGCCGGAGCCGGGAACGGCCAAGGATGCCCCCCATGACTGCTCCCAGATTCTGGCCGAAGTTCATGGGACTCGTGAAGATCTAACTGACCAGCCTCTACCAGATGCGGAGGTAACCTGGTTCACAGATGGCAGCAGCTATGTCACCGAAGGAACTCGGCGGGCAGGAGCAGCAGTGGTGAGTAACAATGACTCCATAGTCTGGGCCAGTGCCCTAGAGCCAGGGACGTCGGCCCAGCGAGCTGAACTAATAGCCCTCACAAAGGCTCTAGAACTGGCGGCGGGAAAAGTAGCAAACATCTATACTGACAGTAGGTATGCTTTTGCTACGGCCCATGTGCACGGTGAGATTTATCGCAGAAGGGGCCTCTTAACTTCAGGAGGACGAGAAATAAAGAACAAGCAAGAGATAATAAACCTCTTGAGGGCACTATTCCTTCCAAAAAGACTGAGCATTATTCATTGTCCGGGCCACCAAAAAGGAACAGATCCAGTAACTAGAGGAAATAGACTGGCAGACCAGACTGCAAAAACTGTTGCCACTGAGCCAATCTCAGCCCTACCCCTGGAAATAAACTCAAAAATGGGACCCGAAGAGACCAGGCAAAACACAGATGACATAGTCTGCAACTGGGGAGTTCCATTTAAATATACTGATAATGACAGAGCTCTCATTAAAGAACTCGAAGGGGAGTGGGATGCTAAGTGCAAAGCATGGAGAAAAGGAGACAAGGTCATCCTGCCCTATCGCATAGCTACTGAAATCATTGAACACCTCCACCGCCTCACTCATTTGAGCCGGAGAAAAATGCACGCTCTACTTGCAAATGAGAAATGCCCGTTTGTAACTCCTGACCTGCAGTTTCTTACTCAAATTACAGTGGACCAATGCAAGCCTTGTGCCCAGGTAAATGCAGGGCGACTAAAACTCCCCCAAGGAGCCCGTGCCCGAGGACACCGACCGGGAATACAATGGGAAATAGACTTTACTGAAGTAAAACCGGGACTGTATGGTTATAAATATCTCTTAGTTTTTGTAGACACCTTTTCAGGCTGGGTAGAAGCCTACCCCACGAAGAATGAAACGGCCACGACAGTCGTTAAAAAACTCCTTGAAGAAATTTTTCCCCGGTACGGATTGCCGCAAGTATTAGGGTCAGATAACGGTCCCGCTTTCGCCTCCCAGGTAAGTCAGGGGGTGGCCAAGAGTTTGGGGATTCATTGGAAACTACATTGTGCTTATCGACCCCAGAGTTCAGGCCAGGTAGAAAGAATGAATAGAACTCTAAAGAGACCTTGACTAAATTAGCCCTAGAGACTGGCGGAAAAGACTGGGTACGGCTCCTCCCTATGGCCCTTTTTCGAGTGCGCAACACTCCTGCATATCATGGGCTGACTCCCTTTGAAATATTATATGGGAGCCCACCACCGGCATCCTCTTTCTGTGATTTTGATCCTACCATGTTCCCCCATCCACCCTCGTTACAGGCGCATCTCCAGGCTCTCAGAGCAGTGAGAGAGTACATCTGGAAACCGCTTGCAGAGGCCTACAAGGACAAAGACATTCCACCGTGCCCTCACCCGTTCAAGGAAGGAGACCAGGTGTATGTCCGGAGACACCAGGCAAAAACCTTAGAACCACGGTGGAAAGGACCCTTTACTGTCCTACTGACTACTCCAACCGCCCTGAAAGTCGACGGAATTGCCGCCTGGGTACATGCCTCCCACGTGAAACACGCCAAGGATCAGCCAGCAACAGGGACTACAGGGACTGACCAGGAACCAGAATGGAAACTTCAACGAACCCCAAATCCTCTAAAGATAAGACTGACTCGTGCTTAAAAATGTACTTTTTGACTTTGCTATCTCTTCCATGTTCATTGTCAGATTATAACCCACATACCCCCCATAAAATTACCTGGAAAATCAGTAGTTTGGAAATAGGAACAGTCATAAATAGCACTCAAGTCATTGGACCGGTTGATGTTACCTTTCCCAAGTTATATTTTGATCTATGTGACCTAGTTGGAGGAGCATGGGAGACTCCCGGTCTCCCTTATTCAGGAACTAGTAGTCGGAACGCGTATGGCTGTGAGAATGTACTGGGACGGTTACACACCAGAGCCAGACCCTTTTACGTTTGTCCGGGGAGTGACCGTAGCAAAGCCAAAATCAAGCAGTGTAGGGGGGCCGAAGAAGGATACTGTGCTAGTTGGGGTTGTGAAACTACCGGGACAGTGTATTGGCTCACTGAATCAACTGACCTCATCTCAGTCAAGAGGGAAAATATTCCAGGATATTCAGGGACAGGGCCCTGGATTTGCGGCCAGGGTCACTGGAAACAAAACTGCGGACCATGCTTTGATAGTGTAACTAGAAGAACGGGGAGCACCCCAGGTGGCAGATGCAATCCTTTAGTTATTTCTTTCACCTCGGCCGGAGAAAAAGCTGACTGGACTAAGACGAGAGTATGGGGATTGCGGCTCTACAGAGAAGGGTGGGACGCATTTACTCTGTTCACTATCTCCCGCCAAATAGAGCCCTTAGCCACCCAGTCTATTGGCCCAAATCATGTCCTGCCTGCCTTCCGCGGGCCGTCAGGACAACAGCCTCAACATCCTATAAGGCCATTTTTCAACCACACAATAACTCCACAAACTAGCACGCCGGCCTCCCCCACTATAGTGCCGAAAAGCACGGGAGAAAGACTCATAAATCTAGTTAAAGGAGCCTTTCTAGCCCTTAACTCTTCAGATCCCGAAAGAGCCAGGGACTGCTGGCTATGCCTCAACCCCAGTCCACCTTATTATGAAGGAATAGCCACAATAGCAAACTTAACAAACTCCAGTAGCCCATCTCCAGTCTGCAGCACCATGGGGCACGAACTGACACTTACTGATGTCAGTGGGACAGGTCTATGTATAGGAAAAAATTCAATAAAATCTAGACTATGTAACCAGAGTTTAAATGTCCCCATAGGAAATTATTATCTGACACCACCTAATGGAATCTATTGGGCATGCAACACTGGCCTGACCCCTTGTATCTCGGCACAGGTTCTTAACGTCACCAAAGACTTCTGTGTGCTTGTTCAATTGTGGCCAAGAATAACGTACCTTCCGTCTGAGACTGTTCTAGCTGCCTATGAACATCCAGGGAGGGCCAAGCGAGAGCCTGTCTCTATTACTCTAGCCGTGTTACTAGGTACAGGAGGAATAGCCGCTGGCATAGCCACCGGAGCAACTGCTCTGTCGAGAACAGACTATTACCAAGGACTACACCAGGCTATGAATGAAGACCTACAGGCCTTAGAACAGTCAGTCAGAGGACTAAAAGAGTCTCTTACCTCTCTGTCTGAAGTAGTGTTGCAAAACAGGAGAGGACTAGATTTGCTATTGTTAAAAGAAGGAGGATTGTGTGCCGCCTTAAAGGAAGAGTGTTGTTTCTATGCTGACCAAACTGGAAGTGTGACTGAGACTTTAGATCGACTCAGAGACAGATTAAATAAAAGACAGAAAGAATTGTCAGCCCAAAAAGGATGGTTTGAAAACATGTTCTCTCAATCACCCTGGCTAACCACTCTCATCTCTGCTATAACAGGACCTTTAATATTGTTATTACTCCTTTTAACTATAGGACCTTGCATTATTAATCGTTTATTACAGTTCATAAAAGAAAGATTGTCAATAATTCAAGCCTTTGTATTAACCAGCCAATATCAGCCTGTACAAGAAAATGCCTGCTAATGCTTATATTTTAAGATAAAAATATGTCCTAAAAGAAAAGGGGGGAATGTAAGAGCTTAGAATAACCGCTTGATTTTGCTTCTGTATATTGCTTTCTGCTGAGCAAGAGTAGAGCCATGTTGGAATAAATATAGAAAAGCTATTTCATGAAGGAAGTAAAAGTTTCAGTTTCCCAGACATGAACAAGGCAGCTGCAGGAATAAAAGAGATAAGGTAGCAAGGCCGGAGCAGGCAGCGCAGAATAGTGCAGGCGAGGCAGCTGCAGGAATAAAAGAGATTCTAATCTTAAAGTAAAATGCCAGCTGTTATGCGAAGTTTGCGGTTTTGTCCTTTAAAAAGGTGCTTTAACCTGCTTGGGGCGCGCAGAGTCCTGGATGCCTCCAGAGACTCTGTTGCCCATTCGCGAATGCTCAATAAAATCCTCATGCTTATTGCAGCCTCTGCGTTTGACTTGTTTTGCCAATGACGGTGTGACTCCCCTCCACGGGGTTGGACTCTCCTTGAGTCTAACAAGACGCCTTGGAAAATGTCAGTTTTCGAGGCGGCG